AGCTAATTTTACGATCTAACTGGAAAATGAAGCCACCTCCAGCGTTTCCGTCCAGGAGCTTTGATCCATCAGTGTAGACGAGGATATCGCTTTTAGGGATAGTGGTCAAGAAATTGGAGAAAATGTTCGCTCTTATTTGGCTTGGTCCTGACGGTGCACCAACACGCTTAAAAGCAGTTTGCTTTTCTTCCTCTGCTTCCCACGGCGGGTTAAGGAGAGGGTCGAAATTCTCGGAATGAGGAATGTCCCTGCATGAGCGAGCGAGTCGAGTCAATGGGGGAAATGTCATTAAATTTCGCGCGCGCGAGGATAGGGGGTGGTGAGGTTTCTTGTGCACGTTAGTAAGAATAAAATGATAAATGTTGACTGTGAAATTCACGGATGTCTCGTGGCTCCGACTACGACAATCTATATGTGTGTAGAGCTCGAGACTAGGTGTAAACTTGTATTTCTATTAACGTTCTAACTCCTCCTTAAATACATGAATTCCTCTATACTCCAGATAATGTAACGATCAATGATACATGACAAGTAAACTATCAGAATACAGTAGGAGAGGAGTGAGGTGCTTAGCCGCCCGAATTGTGACCAAAGAATGCGAGGGGTGCATTCTTGATGGAACCTCAAACTCGGCGTCTCGCCTAGACTCGGAGCTCAGCGGCTCGCTTGCCGTGAGACTTGGCGTTACGCTCGGACTAGGAATTCAGGATCCTCAGTAGTAGGGATCTAGACTACACATTCGGAGGGCAGCTCTCCTTGTTATATTGTCTAGTGCAATTTCTGCTGGAGAAATTCGTGCCTCCCTCAGGAGAGCGATGGTCGGAGTGGTTGAAAATACAGGAAGGACAGTCCTAGCAGCAGCGGCATGAACTTCATCAAGTGTACTGATATGGGAGCCAACCCTATTTGATGTTTGTTTCCTCTCTTCACTCTTGTTTTTCCGGGCCACCAGGTCGCAGCGGCGAAGTGGGCAATAGGTAAAACGCATGTGATAACCACTCGTCTAGAGAGACTGGAGGATATTCCTCGAGCTGTATTTCCAATGCAGCGAAGAGCGTGAGCTACTTTTAGGGCTTTAGCTACCTGTATTGTTATATGTTGCTTGAAGGTAAGTCGCTTATCAAAGTGTACACCCAAGCCATTTGAGGAATGGTTTTTGTGGATTTTCTGAGATGGAAAATTGGCTTGTGTGCACGTGAGGGCTGACACCCTTATCCCTATGCTTCCTTGAAAAGTGAAGGAGTTCTGATTTTGCAGGGTCGAAGATTATGCCTTCTTTGGTGCCCCATGCTAACGCGTCATTTATGGTGGCACTTATCTTGTTCGAGTTTTCTTACAGTAATGCTGATATCTCAAGAACTGCATTGTCATCTGCATAGCCGAATGATTTTTGAAGTCCTTTAATCTTGAAAATCGGTGCAATATAAAGCATGAAGAGTATTGGTAATACTGGTGATCCTTGTGGTACTCCGCAGGAAATCGGTCTTGGTTTATCAAATTTTCCGTCTAATCTGATGCGGATCTCACGTTTGGTTAAGAATGACGTAGCCCAGCTGCATAGATGAGCCGGCCAACCTTGTTCCCTTAGACGTCTAACGAGTCTACCTGGGAGGACAGCATCAAAAGCTCCTTTGACGTCGAGCGTAGCCAGTGTAGCTGTTTCACCTTTTGATAGCGCGGTTTCAAAGTCGTGAGTAAAGCAAGTGGTTAGGTCTACACTAGAGCGTAGGAGAAATGCTCCGAACTGCTGCCGGAATAGCACCTTGAACTTGATCGCTATCCAGGACTTTCGCTTTGCCACTAGTCTTTCTAGCCCTTTTCCAAGGACTGATAGTAATGCGATTGGTCTATAAGATCTGGGGGAAGTCATATCTGCTTTGTTTGTCTTTGCAATGATTGCTACAATTACAATGCGGAAATCTTTAGGGTGATGGTCAATATCCAGGCATTTTTGGAAGAGATCGAGGACAGTTGCCAATATATGAGGCCAGGCAAGACGTAGAATAGCTGTTAGAATCTGATCATTTCCAAGAGTGGTGTTACCAGCGCTAAGGATTGCCTTCGAAACTTCTTTTGTGGTGAGATTGGGGAAAGGCAGTGAAGAAATTGCCACTGCAGGGGAGTCGAGAGGAATGTCGTCCACTTCTGGTTGACTTGTTAAAAGATTCTGCGCCAAGAGGTCCATCTTTTCTTCTGTTTCCTGTGCTAGCGGAGAGCTCGGTGCCAGCGGGTCTTTCAAAGGTGGCGATCGGAATTGTCCCTTTGATTTGTGCCACTTCGTGATATGAAAGGCGTCCTTTGCGTTGGCGGCATTATCGACTACTTTTTGGAAAAAGTGGAACTTTGCTATTCCGGTGACTTTTCGAAAAGCTCTTTTGTCGGTAGGGGTTGAGTTGCCAATACGAACTTTCTCTCGGTAGATGTTTCTAGCTTCTTTGCAACTATCGTTCCACCATGGTTGTCCTCTATTGCGCGGAAGCTTTCCTTTCGAAGATCCTGCATGAGATTCATATAATATCCGGATTAGCTCTTCAGCTCAATTGTTTAGGTTTTCAGGGGTGCTGGAGTTGAGCGTATGGACTTCGGAAAGGAGAGGACAAAGGATTGCGATAAACTTTTCTTGGTCGGTGGTTCCGAAGCGTAATCTTGTCTCAGATTGATGTTTTTGGTCCGGGCAGGGGACTTCAACAAATAACGGGAAATGGTCTGAAGTTACGTCTAGATCCTGTTGAACAGATGCAGAGGCATTTCTGGCGCAGAGTTTCTCCGAAGCGAAAATGAGGTCGAGTACGTTTCCACGGGTATGTGTTGGTTTGTCTATTTCTGAAATAAATGAGAGATTTTTGGACTGAAGCCACTGAGTGAATACGTTAGCCTGCGGGGAGGGTGAGCCCCGGCGAGATGGATGCCAATTTTGGTGGTGGAGATTGAAGTCTCCAGCCAGAATGGTTTGCTTAGGAAAAACGAAGTTATTCAAAGTAGGAAGGTGACCCCGGCGCCTGGATTGATAGCTCCAAGGGGGGCATTGTAGATATTTACTATTAAAGTAGAAAATTTATCGGGAGATTTTACGAGAAATAGTGTATCCTCGACTCCGTGGGCTAAGATAGAAGCGGGATGGACTTGAGAATATGAAAATGAATTATTTTTCCGCAAGTATGATAGTACTCGGGGCCGAATGGACCAGTCGTCAATAGGGTTGAAGCATTCGAAAGACAGATGTTTCCGCGTAATTTTTCTGGTTCAATCTTTATAAATATACGGCTCTTGTATTAGCAAGATGTCCGTGTTAGTGCTGAAAGCAAGTTGGAGAGCAATTTTTTGTGCAGATGAGCAGCGCCCTAAGTTAATGGAGAGGATTTTTAGAGATATGAGCTTGGTACTCATGAATCCATTTTTGATTTGCTGATATCACTACATTTCTGGGTTTGGGTTGACAGGGGGGCAAATCTATTGGCGGAAGGGCTCGGGTATTCTGTAAAAAGCCTTCGCACCTCAGTTGGGGTCGAAGGGATTGCAACTTCAGTTTGGACTGTACCCGTAGGAGCTTGGGTTGAAATTATGCTGCAGTGGCCTGCTTTTATACGTAATCTAGCTGCCGATGCCATTTGTCTGATCTGGGCAGCTTCAGACTTGGATGGGACTGAGTTGTCTTTCTTGGGTCTGAAGAGACACTCGAGTGCATCAGCAGGGTGGGGACCGTGACAGTTGATGCATCTGGACGGGCAGTCATGAGGTCTGGTGGGGTCACAGGATATATGCTCATTTTCTAGGTGTTGAGTTGATCCACAGAGCCTGCAGCGGGACGCTCGCGCGCGAGATCGCTCGTTATGCTAGCCAAAGCATCTCCCGCATTGTGGCGTTTTAGTCTTCTTGGTAAGTTTTTTGGCAGGTACGTAGACTCTAAAGAGAGGCAACTTTCTCGATAGAACTGATCCTTCTGGGTAAAGGGCTATCCAGTCTTTATGATAAGAGAATTGGGCCGTGTTTGAGCCTTGAGATTCGAAGACGTTGATCGGTTGAATGTTGGTTAGGTCCATTAAAGCTTCAGTAACGGTTCAAGCTGTGATTGGGATATTTTCGACAGAGATACCATTAAATCCTGTGTAAGAGCGGGGTGTACCAGTTCGTAGGTATGCAGCGTGGTTAGTAGGGTTTTCGACCTTGCAGTCGCCCTGGGTCGATAGGTGGCTTTCCAATGCATCCATTCTATTGATCAGAGCTTCCTGGGCAGGGATAGAGGCTGGACAAATTGCAAGCCCGGTTTTAGTGGTTTGGACCTACCTTATCAGCTTTTCTTTGAAGAATTCATTCAGATGGAGCATCACCGCGTATGATGACATGGAGAGTGCAGGGTGCCCTGGATTTACACGAGCTAGAAGTCTATTATCTTCGCGGGGGGGCTTTTGACGAGGTTGAGCCGGTTTGTTGGAAGTTTGTTGGAAGTTTGTTGCTGTTGCTGTTGCTGTTGATTTTGTTGGTTAGGAGCATCAGTGACGGCTTTGGCGTAACTTCTGGGTTGATGATGAGCTGGGGTAGCTTGCGGTGCGGCAGAGGTGCTCTATGTATCTAGGTTATAAATTGACTGTCTAGTCTGGGGCTGGGATGGACTTGCGGAGTAGGGCGCTGGCGGTCGAGGTGAACCTCTGACATGGCATTCAAAGTGCCTCCGCGCCACAGAGTTTAAATCCGCGATAAACTCGCGGAATGGTTTGAGAAGGTGTTGTGGAAGGCACTCTCCACTAGTTGCGTCGTCAAGGACGCACGCAATATTTTGAAACAAGAGGGTGGCCTCTTGATTCCTGGTGTCAGCGGCGGAGGTAGTTGACAGCAGCAATTCCGTCAACAACTCCCCTCCACTTGGTTGTGTGGAGGTAGAAAAGGGCGTCTGGATCAGGCAGTAGCGCTAAGTATCACGTGATACAATTAAATCGATTCCAAGCTCGACTTCATGAACAGGTTGATTAACATATGCGCACCTGCTTATTGCCATCCTCAATATGGCCGCCCGACTTATGCCACTTCTACGCTCCACAAAGTTGCGGGCTCACCTCTGTGTCGCACGCCCTCAGATTCGCTCGCTCACATCCGGTCGTCCGTCACGAAGCGATGTCCTCCAGGTCGTAGGTCTATTATTCACTCGAATTCTACGAGATCCCTAGCTGACTATACTTCTCCTAGCATCGCGATTCGCCTCACAACAATGCTAGCATTCCTTTCAAATTCACAGCGCAGAATAACGTCATTATATCCCAAATCCTTAAACGCTACCCGCCCCAGTACAAGAAGGCGGCGGTAATGCCTATTCTCGACCTCGGCCAGCGGCAACTCGGCTTCACCAGTTTGAGCGTAATGAATGAGGTCGCACGGATACTGGAGATGCCGCCAATGCGCGTCTATGAGGTGGCAACGTTTTATACCATGTACAATCGGGAGCCCGTCGGCAAGTTTCATCTACAAATTTGCACAACAGTAAGTATCTCTCGAAACGATAGTGCTAAGATCAAGTCCTCTATTTTATACTAATAAATTCACCGTAGACTCCATGTCAGCTCGGTGGTTGCGGAAGTGACGCCATTGTCCAGGCAATCAATGATCACCTCGGTATTACACCTGGTCATACTACTGGAGACGGTCTTTTTACCTACGTTGAAGTAGAATGTTTAGGGGCGTGCGTGAACGCTCCTATGGTCCAGATAAATGATGAATATTACGAAGATTTGACGCCCGAGAGTATAGTATCACTATTGAAAGCTTTACAGGCCAGTGTGATAGACGTAGAGAGCTCTAAAACTGAATCCATAGGTAAAGACGAAAAGGCAAGGGTTGATGAAAAAACCAAAGCTTCCAACAAAAATAAAGCAGAGCAAAATGTGGCAGATCAAGCTGGAATAAAAGTAGGAAAAATGCCTGCACCAGGTCCAATGAGTGGTCGAAAGACTTGCGAAAATTTGGCCGGATTAACAAACCTGACTAGTCCCCCATGGGGAGTTGAAGCTTTCAGGAAGGATCTGTAGTCAAAAATACAACACTCAAATTCCAGTTCAAGCGGATGAGACCTATCAAACTTGTCTAGTTTCCCTCTGCTCATCGGCGCACCCTTTGTTAATCTTGCTATTTACGACGCATATTACGTCAGCGGCCACCTTGTTCCCCCCGCTTAGGATCCTAATCAGACATTTCGACTGTATTAAACTATATCAAGTTGTACTGGATCATCATTGCTCTGAACGCAGGCGTCTTAGGGTAGCGTAGTATTGGTGGCTTGTATTTCTTGTTATCGATGTCCAGAGCTATTATTCCTAATAGAATAAATGAATACTTCTAATCACAATCAATATGGCAATCAAGTATTGCTCTTTCCAGTCTATAGCACTAAAAAGTGTAGAAAGAGAGCATATGGCGCTAAAACATCTTTCTCGAACGACGACTTATAAATCTCATAGTGTTGAGCAAAGTTATACTAATATGAATCTCTCTCAGAGTTTATTGAATTGATTCTCTCTCCCATGAGGAATCTATCTAGGTACTATATACATCTTGAGTATCCTACTAATTCCAAATATAGACTGAATATTAGATTGCCAATACGAACTGCTCAAATCTCTGTTCCATACATGGGTCTAAGATTGGCTGTTACATTATCATGGGCAATAGAAGTAGTGAAACAACAAGGGAGTTGTGCGTATGAAATTGGCCATCCGTCTAGTCGCTAATTGTAACATTTGCATGACTAAGTTATTGCCCTTGATGCATCAGCCCAGTTTTTTTTTTATCAGCCCAGTTTACTTGCTTGTAAACTACTCAACTTAAACATCATGAGACAACATTTAAGCTTAGGGTAATCTGTTTGACACATAGTCATTGGTTTCACCCTATGCTTCACCCAACTCCCTTATGGCAGCTTGTCCCCGACATGTGCTGCCTTGACCTTCCCAAGACTCCTAAAATTTTCAGGCCTTCAATTTCAAAATATACAGTATAAATATGGATTCGGCCTTTTATAGGATTTCAATGGCTGTTCAAATACTCATTATTTTTTCATAAATTCGTCCAAAATTTAAGCCATATTTTGGATTATCGATCATTTGACATTTACTTTATGGGCAAAAATATTTTGTAAAAGTGAAAAGATATACAGTTCTGATACCACAAAAATAAATTGACCTAAATGTAGATAATTAACCTAAACATGTCCAATGTTGCATCCCAAACATCGGACTGAACTGTGAGTACGCTAGGATCAGGCATAAAGCTATTAAAAATACAATTAAACTATATTCTGTTTTAATAAGATTCAGTTTCCTCGCATAGAACGTTAGCAAGTTAAATATCTGCCTGACGGATAAGCCTATAAAATAGCGCCTAAAGACATGAAGCTGTCTAGACTTCTTACAGGGTTTCAGTTGGATCCACTCAAGACCTCTACTAGCCTCTTCGGTACCACCGCTTTCCGCCATCATTCATTTGCTTATCTACAACTGTATTTCGACGATTTCTCCGTGCGTAATGGAAGCCAAGCATGGCAGACGCCAGAAAAAAAATAGAAGTCAAGAAGACAAAGGAAATGTCTGTCTTGAAATTATCGCAACCTCTACCCGCAGATGTCAACCTGCCTTGATTTCCGATACCATTACACGAGTTCCGTGAATACTAGACAAAAGGATCCTGTTAGTGACAAATATGACGAGTCTAGCGCCATGTCAGGACTTACATTAACCATTAGTCCAAACGCAATCATGGTCGTAATAAAAATGAATATGTCCAGCGGCCAGTGCATATAATTCCTCGTAAAAGGTAACAAAAGGAATAATGCCACTAGGAAAGCGAGGGCTGCTACGACTTCGGTGTAGATAAAACGCTTATGTGGTGAAAGACGAACTCCACGGTTTGCATGAAGCCATGACGCCGTAAGGCCAGTAACAATCGCTGAAAATATTAACTAATCACAAAAATAACACAATTAGCCACATTCGAATAGCGTCGCTGAGATAGGTAGAAAGCAAATTACTTCACAAACTCGCAAAAAAAGCGAGATAATATCGGCCAGATTCATTTTATTATTGGTATAATAAAAGAGGATGTATTTTAAATCAGGTACTTGTGCAAGGTTAGAGTTGTTGCAAGTTACGGGCGAAGAGGAATGAATTTTATCATTAGTGATGGGGATATCAAGTATTTGTAGGAGATGAGAAGCTCACGTCATACCCGGCTGCCAAATGATGGTACGAGATGCCCAAGGCGGAAAGTGCACCAGATGAATTTCATCAGAATGAGAGAAATCAAATTAACAGGGCACATGATCTTTCGGGAGAAGCGCTTAAAACGACGATGAACAGTCAGAGAAAGAGCGCGTGACAATTATTACAAGATGTACCATTCAAGTGTCGTCTATTTGCCACTGACTTAGCCATATTAGGAATTCTTTGATTTCTCCTCATTCATCCTTTGAAAGTCCAAGTAGGCTTTGCATACGTCAGCGCCCGACGTAACACCAGCCAGCCCAAGGGAAGGGAACTCTAGCCAACACTATATAGCTTTAAGTCTTAGGTATCACGACTCTATATAAATATGGAAAATTCCCCGTCTATCAAGCCCTCAACGAATCAAAACGGAAAAATGAGGGAGATATGAATGTAAAATTAACGACTGCGAGGTCTCGCTTGTATTGTTTAAAGACAAATTGAAAATTAGGGTATAGGGGTACCAAAAAACTTTATTCCAAAATATGAACATTCAAAAGAAAGATGGGGATAATCGATGTTCTCAATCTTGTTGCAATATATCCTCCTCAGCTGCAAAACCACTATTTAAATCGATGAGAAATAGCACCTTTAACCTTGAAATTTCCGAAGTATTTGAATGATCTAGCCTCATACAGTTCTACAATTGCAAAGCTCCCTTTTTGCAATAAATCTTGATTCAAAGAGGTCTAGAATTATCGTTGATATGAAATGAGGCTAGTTAAGAGGAATGGATGTGATTATACTTGGCGATATCTAAAGATAATTTATTAGTAAAAGTCTCATGTCAATCTCAAATTCACCCATCATGGTATCCTGCTACTTTTGTGTTATTCGTCTACCAAAATCCATGAACAACAAGATTTTCTTATGAGTAGACTAAGCGACATTGTATATTTACAAGTTAAGAATATAAAGACAGAGAGAGTTGTAGCCGTACTCTTCTTTTTATAACTTGAATGAAAGATTAAAAAACGTTCTCTGCAATCTATATGGCTAATTACCGTCCAGATTCGTTTGAAAAATATTTGGAGATGAGTTTTTAGAAATAGGTGCGAGCAGCATATCTGAGAATAAGATAAAACTTACGAATCTTATGGCCATGCAGGATCAGTCTGATTGGTTTGATAATCATACATATTCTGACGCAGCTAGAATTTGAAGAATAAATTATAATGTAACTAGCTTCAGCTTAGTAGTATTCTAAAATTAGATTGTATTAGATTTGTATGAAAGTCCTAGCTGAGTCTATGACTCCGGAGGATTTCTAGAATCTGCTTGAAAGACACTACTTACTCTCAGCACATTTTACTATGATTAACTTAGACTTCTTTCGTCTAGACAGTGAGGAAAAAACAGAATTTAAAGTCCTTGAATTTTTATTTAATATTTCTTTCCTGTCCTATGACTAAGACTTTTGCATGGGGAGAATATATCACGGCCCGCAAATATCTTTAAATTTTTATAATCTTTACCAGATTGGCCAGGTGAGATGACCTTGTTTGATTTCAAGGTAAGCTCTCTCGAGGACCTACATCTTAGGGCCCCTCCATCTAGCTCATTTGTCGTTGAGATATAGAGACTGTAAATTGCAAGGTTAAAATTTATTGGCTATAAACCTGGTTCGTTTATGTTGTTTCCCTTCGAATTTTAATTTTTTGGTATGAAGTTATGTATGAGGCACGCATTCTAAACAGATTTATTTACATAATATATAGCTATGGAAGTTTCTCTCGATAAATCAGTATCTCTTGGTAGGTATTTCTAAATTGATTGTCCACTTTTTCTTGGTTGACAATGGACACGATTAGCTAATAGGGGTATCAATATATACCTGAGACTGACTCCAATAAATTTCTATAGGAAGTTTGTATCCGTAGAAGATAGTAGGTATTTTAAGTGCATTTCATTATGTATTTCTAGGAAGATAAATGACAAGAAATGGGGTTATTTTGGCCAAAATTTAAGAGTAATTTTACTGTGCAAGAGAAGGGAATTTGGATATATCTCAGGAAGTGCATGCGTTATTATTTGTGATAATTGCTGTTATATCATTATTAGAAACCGCCGTGAGTTGAAATTTAGAAAGGAAAGAGAAAATTCGAGACTAAATAGACGTTGAAATTCAAGTGGTCTGTCAAATGTAGCTGTCAGTTAATTTCATACAATTGAGTCCCATTTTTGACTTTCTATTTTTACATTACTCAAAGTAATTGAAACCCGGCACCTGATTTTCTTACTCTTTGTATTTTCCGAAGCAGACTGTATGAAGGGCTCACAGTCCTCCAAAGTGTTGTAGACTTTGAAGTAGTTTCCTACTTGAGAAATGCTGACTCATGATTGATGCACGTTAAATTGGTGATAATATTACGTGTACGACATACTAAAAGCGTACAAGGTAACTAAAGTATTTCGTAGTACGTGATCACTTTCATTATCGTAGAACAATATCTATCACATCATTTTTTGCCTGAAGGTGCCGTGGAACATGACATGCTCCCTGACCGATACTTGAACTGTATCTCTCCACGTGTCTGCTTATCTTGGCTAGTTTGATCTATTGCTTATCCCTTTTATTTAATTTATCCAATAACCTCGCTTCTCTACAAGAACTGAGAAGTTGTTTCGGAAATTTGGTTAGTTCTTTCCAAGGGCTCATAAGTATCAATCTTTTCATATCTAAATTATGGTCTTTAGTATATCCTCAAGTCATCTCAGATCAGGAACCCGTGGCAGTGATCGCCTCTGAGTAGTCATACACGCAATGAAATAATTGAGCTGATATGTTCCTTGCAGCAGTGCATTTAAATATTATTTAATATTTATTCAAAGATTGCTTATATTACATTAGAGTAATTGTGGGCAAAATTCCAGTCAAATAGTTTGGTATCACTCGCCAGAGTGCACCGAATTTGGATCGGGGGCTATTTACCAGGGCCGAGGCTCCGCAGCATGCACTCCTTTATTTAGGTCGTGAGCGAGTTATTAGATATGTTGCAAGCGTGCGGATTCCTACTGAGAACGTGTCCTTGTTTGGAGCGGGATTCTGTTATACGAGCGGCTAATCCTGCTGGGCTACTGTATGTGAAGGTAAAAGTTCAAGCCGAGTTGAGGTCACATGTAAGTCTATCGAGAGGGATAACTTCCGAGTTAAGGAAAACTATGCACTAGCGATGCAAACGCATAGCTGAGGAATGATGTGTAGCGGCGATCTTAAAAATGGCAGAAATTACTCAAGTAATACTCCATTATTATAAATTACTTAATCATCCTTCCTCAATCAATGACTATGTAAGACATGCAGGTCTTTGCATACCAGCCGAGGATACCTATACCAGGAGTATATCCCCTCCTATGCCTCTCATACTTTGAGGAAATGGTTAAGCTGTCTTTTGCAGCTATTGATGGTGACATGAATTAAGATGATGATTGTGATTGAGATAGATTTCTATATAGTTTATAATACATGATATGCTCAGGTTCATATAACTCGAGCCAAGCAACCAGATTATGTTGCTCTAGATCTAGATTCATCAGAATAATTACTTACTCAGTAAAATTCTCCTAGTCTTAGTTGTGTGTTTAGGATCTTGATTAGGTTTCTAGTAACTAGTCAATGATGTTTCTCATATCACTGAGACATAGTCATGGTTGATACAACAAGTACAAGCGATGAATCGTGTCTACACATGACGTTGTGATATAGTCATGATCGTCTGGACAATACCAACTCATGAATGAATCATGTCTCTATATGACACATACAGCTCTCCTCAAACAGTAGCATCCCTCAAAAGTCCTTATTTTGCCATACGCTAAGAGGACCCCTTTGCCCATCATTATACCTCCTAGTGATACTCTGCTTTTTCAGTGGCAAACAAACGGGCGGGACCATGAGCCTATCAAGTTGGGTGCTTCTGCGCTTGGCCCTAATTATCTATTATAAAAATTTCAAAAATTTTAGTTAGAATATTACCAACAAATATTAAGGCTTTTAACATATTTTGATAAGCCCTACATAGTCATAGACTCAATAGTGACCCTAATGAAATTCAATTATGTAGGGTTTTCTAGAATGAAGGTTTCAACGCACGCCTTAGTTATGTATACCAGAACTAAGGTGTCTGATGACGTAGTAGGATTCAAATTTCCACGGTCCCAAGGTCAGGCAGTAAGAAGCGTGACGTCGGTGCTCGGGGATCCAATTCCGGTGTCGTCACCTGCTTCTCAATGAGGTAGAGCTCGGCTATGCTTATCCGATCCCTGCGCTGTTGTAAACATGAAATCATGTGACCATTTTCATGCACCTGATGGCCGTTTTGACATCGTCGAAAGTATAGACTTGCCTCCACCGGCTTGTACCGGGTCAAGACGACTCGGGAGTGGGAAAAGATTAGAACTGCCTGCAATTCTGAATGCGTGTGGGTAGGCATGTGCCCACATATTTCAAGAAACGAAGACCTAGAAACAGCATCAGAGACAGACAATCATGATTTTGATAAAGAAGCCCTCTTCCATCCCCATTGCAACCATACTACTTTCCCCCCGAACTGCCGCAGCCTATACATCCGGCTACGGAATTCTTCACGGTAGAGTGTTTAACTCGAGATGTGCTGGAGGCACAAGGGCTAAACGTCAAGCTGCTTTTTCATCACCTACAACCTCCAAACCTGCGAAAGAGGTACCACTAACGCCCCTCTCAATCCTCCCACTCAGTACCATTATCCGCTCTATTGCTTTGAAGTCTATTTTATCTTCCAGAGTTAGTCTAACCAAGTTTTCAAATTTATACATTTTTCCCTCTGTACTAATCAATGGTGTCATACTCAGTATCTCCTCCCTCCTTGTCTAGCTATAACATCCTTTATTGCTAATACTTCCTTGCGGCTTTTCTCACCTGAAAGCAATCCGCTGGTTCATATCCTTCTCAAATCAGTCCTTTATAAGCACTTTTGCGCTGGTGAAACATTGCCAGAAGTAAGAAAGACAACTGATAGTTTAAGGTCCATTGGATATAGTGGAGTCGTTCTTGCCTATGCGAAAGAAACTGCATGGGATGAGAAGACCTCAGACTCGTCTACCATTCCAGACTTCATCAGCAAGGCTTCCAAGGAAGAAATCAATCGCTGGACGAAAGGTACCCTCGACACAATAGCTCTAACGGTACCCGGAGACTTCATTGCATTGAAGCTAACTGGTGCCGGCCCTCATGCCTTAAGCTTACTTTCTCGAAGCTTACCCCCATCTACTGAAATTCAGGAGGCTATAAGTAAGATTTGCAACACAGCAAGGCAGCACAATGTGCGTTTGCTTCTCGATGCAGAGCATTCAAATATACAGAAGAGTATTCATGACTGGTCTATAGGATGGATGGAACAATATAACACTTCCAATAACGGTAGAGCAGTAATCTACAACACCTATCAAGCCTATCTGAAGGAAACTCCGTTACTTCTAACAGAACATCTGACCATCGCAGGCCGTAAGAATTTTATTTTAGGTGTGAAACTTGTGCGTGGGGCTTATCTCGATAGTGAGCCTCGCCATATTATTCACGAAACCAAGGAAGAAACAGACGATGCATATGATAAAATTGCTGCAAATCTTGTACAGCGCAAATATTGGGCTCCAAAACCTTGTCAGAGTGCTGAAGCAGAATTTCCAGATATTTGTGTTATGCTCGCCACCCATAACTTGATTTCTATTCGAAAGGTGCAAGCAATTCGGAAGTTACGGAAGGAAAGGGGTGATAAAAACGTCGACTTAGTCTATGCACAATTACAAGGAATGGCCGACGAAATTGGCTGCGAGCTGATCCTCTCCAGAAATGTTACCTTGGAAAAGGAGGGAACTGATCTGACGCAAGCGTACGTTTATCTGGTTTGGGGTACAGTAGGTGAGTGTATGAAGTACCTACTAAGACGCGCGGATGAGAATCGCGATGCCCTACAGAGGAAGGATGGGAAAGTAGAGGAATGGAAAGAACTAAAAAGAAGACTTGGCATTAAGTATCTAGAAAAGTATTGACCCGGTTAAGAATAGAATAGAAACAAATTTAAGTACTCTATGAGCCTATGACTATGAAAGACGACTCGACTGAGGAATAGCACAAAGTGTTATAATTACGAGGTTAGATGGATAAGTATTGTGGTAGGACAGTATATAAAGAAGAATGTGGAATGAATACTCTGGTAGTTGGCGAATGTATTTTATATATCTTAGTATAAAATAGATGTCCAAAGATGAACGCATAATCCACAAAAGAAGAAAATGGAGCTGGTTATATACATGTACAATTTTCTCTACAGCTATGCCCATTGATTGTCTGATGTACTCAAATAATGCGTATCGACATTGTTTGATCCTTACGCTCCTGATAATTAGCACGACTGGGGGTCTGTTCTTAACACTTGTTAGTGGTGTGCCCTACGAACCTCCAGCTCTCAATGTAGAGTCTCCAGAGCCGAGATTGAGTAACAAAGTCCTCACTTCGATGAGGATTCCCATTCGCTTTCGCCGTCTGTATCGTCTTCATCTCTCAACACATTCCCCTATCACCACTATCATGAAGCTAACCACGATCAGATCAGATGGTAGGGTCGGAGCACTTCTCATAACTAACCCTTGATCATAGATGAGAAGCCATCCGATGAGTTTCTGGAGCGTACCCAGCACCCGATAAGGAGATGGTGGATTGGATCAAGTCTGCCTCGAATGTTACGAAGAAGGGAGATGTAGATGAATGTGCGCACCTCTTGTGGTCCTGATATCTAGGCCTAGCCTGGCCGGGGCTGCAGGATTTTTGAGACTTTTTCCCGCGCACGCAGTTTCTATTGCTACCATTTTTTTTGGGTAGAAGGTTCCGTGGAAAAGGTGGCTGAATTCTATAGGTATACACTGAGCTGAATGACTATTCATCAAGGGGAATATATCGAGGATCTTTCAAGAAACATAAGAGGCATGGAGCACTGTACAAGGTGTGGCCTGGGCCAGAAAAGAGCCCAATGTGCTAGATAGTCACAGACTCAGGTAATACAATAAACACACACACACAATTATCACGACTCACATTTGAGTCATGCATTAATATGAGCTTGCATAAATAAAGACATGTTATTTCATCACTGTGTCCTGCCTACGAAGCCCTTGCTTCCTTGCGCAGACTAGGATCATAATACAAAGCAACAGTAGAGTGTGGATAGTAGAGTTTACGGAGTTAATAGACTGAATTTGAAGTTAACAAATAAATACGAGCAAAGGAAGACTGATAAATATCAAGACTATTAGAATATGGTTCTTCTTCATGGGCAATACAGTAGTATTGGAATTAGAGTTGATAAAGTATAAGGTTTATAGAACGAGCATATCTGACAGTACGCGCAGCATCAAAAATTGCTGCGATTGTGCTCACACTCATATGTTTCCACTGGGTTGAATGGTGCAGCAGTACGCCATTCGGGCCGCTATCCCAAGTAGACTGCGAGCAGCTTGAACAAATACCCCATTCGACACAGAAGAGAGGGAGAGGTACTTTTACTGTGTTACTTAAGTCTATGACTATCTAGCACATTTGGCGCATTTCTGGCACAGGTCACACCTTGTACTGTGCTCTATGCCTCTAATTTTTCTTGAAAGATCCTCGATACATTCTCCTTGATGAATAGTCATTCAGCTCAGTGTATACCTATAGAATTCAGCCACCTTTTCCACGGAACCTTCTACCCAAAAAAAATGGTAGCAATAGAAACTGCGTGCGCGGGAAAAAGTCTCAAAAAACCTGAAGCCCCAGCCAGGCTAGGCCTAGATATCAGGACCACAAGAGGTGCGCAAATTCATCTTCATCTCCCTTCTTCGTAACATTCGAGGCCGTCTTGATCCAATCCAAGGGGGCAGGAGAAAGCTGTTTCGAATCTAGTAAAACCCACACACCACTCTCCTTGCCGTGATATTGTATTTTTGGGATGATGAAAGCAGAATCGGATAACCATAGGCTTTCACGCTTTTCCCTGTGGTGGGTGTGCACGGAAGATATCATACGCCGTAAGAGTTAACCGCTAGTGGTATCTACAAATGAAATCTGAGTGTGAGTGTTCTAAACGTCTAATTGAGTCATCCTACTTAAAGTACAAAACTTCCTATATAAACCTGCATGGGCCTCAAGGCGCCAAATCAGGACAATTGAATATTTGTTTTGTGACTATCAGCCTAGTCTTCACGCTAATATGAAATTATTAATACAGGGTATTAAAGATTCCCAAACCCCTTACCCATTTTACTCGTAAGTAAACTATCATCACAACCATAACTCTATTACGTCAAGACACAGGGAGGATAGTGTTTGACCAATACTCTCATAGTATAATCGTTTATTAATTTACCATCCTTTGGAGCGCTGAGCCGGAGACTGGACCCTTTCTTTAGCATCAGATTTTAACTGCGTATGCAGCTATCTAGCTATGACATAATATCAAAGAAAAGTATATGATAGATGACTCAATGTAAATAAAGAGCACTCATGCCTCAGATTTCACTTGCAGGTGCCATTGCGAAGTTATGGTAGCTTTTTCTTCACCCCAAGTCAACCCTCATCCGTGAATACCAACTCAGGGGAACGTCTCAAAGACCCTGAGTTATCCAGACATGCCTCCATCATCTTTCAACCTTTCTCCGTGCGAAATATGTTCTGAGGTGTCTCCTTCCCAAGTGGAGTAGGTGCCCAGGCTACTCTAACTATACCGGAGGACACCACCAGGGGGCGGACCACGGCACCTTCCATCGTTGACTTGGCTTTGTAGTGGCAGCTGCACTCTCGAAATTGAAGCCTTGGTGCACACACAAATTTCAATTTGTAAAACACCTTACGAAAATTCGGAATTTCACTCCCGTCGTGATTGAATCCGTCCTCTGTGTCATATTGTAAACTTGTCCTGACTTCTCTCACGTCCATCTCTGAGGATTTTCTCCCAAGTTTGTGAGAGACGATCTTTGTTCTCCTACGGGTATTCGTTTTGTCGTGGGTTTGTATTTGGTGACCAGCTAAGGCCTGAGAAAGCTGAAAACTTGTATGGTCGCCGGAATGATAAGGTACTGGATAGTATTTGTAGACTTGATGTAAATTAGATAGGAATCGATTGCTTTGAGAGTGAAAGATTGACATGGCGGAGTATTTTGAATCATTGCCATGTTAGCCAACTTATTTGGTATTGCGACATTTGGCTGAAAATGGCTCTGGGAGAATATTTCACTCCCAGGTTCGTAGAGGACACCGGGTACAGATGTTCAGTCTTGCCCTCCTGTGTAACGACCCATTTTGTAGCTTGGGACACTCACGCCCTGATTAAAGTCGTAGATACTGCTCGAAGTTAGCCATGACGGTGTATAACTTCTTCCGTGCTTTCTCGTCACAGGGGGGAAAGCGTGATAACCCCATAATTATCCGAGTGAGCTTTCGTCACCCTACAGATACAATATCATTGCGACAGAACATGGTGTGCGGGTTGTGCTGGATTCGAACCGGCCTTCTCCTGTCTCAAATTAGGTAGGCGTTCAAGCTACCCAGTATCTATTTAGGCGAACGACCAGAATTTTGTATCACTGCGCTATTCAGCTCCTTAGGTGGGGTACAGCAGCTCCTCTCTTTGGTTGCCAGACAGCTAGTCCCCTAATTTCAACTCCTGAATAACCAGGAATGATGAGATAAGCGAAAAGTATGGAAATTTGCAAGGAATCAGCCAAGCATCATGTGGCTTAGTGGGGTATGCAGTTTGGACTGTTTGCGTGAACTTTCTCTAGGCGTTAGTCAAGCGAGACAAGATTTTCAAGTATAAATAGCAGTGTTCGCGCTTCTCGATCTCTTCAGCGATCTTACGTTTGTCTCCCCCATCCCCAAATATTCTCTAAACTCCAAGCTAACTTCACACATAGTTCATAGAATCATTTCTATAGTAAACGTCTTCTTCTGAGCTTCTCAAAAAAGCCACAGAACTCCAATCTCGACGATGATTTGAACCTCGATGGCTCAAAGTGAAACCGTGGCCCTCGAACTGTCTGCGAAGACGGCGGTGCTGGTGAAAACTGGTACTGTATAGAGGGTGGTGATGATCTGAGCACTTTGGAACGATGCTTTCGAGCGTTGATCCGAAGGCGGCTATTGATGGAAGTCTGAGAGACAACTTTCATTGCACCAGTTGAATTTCCAACTATGCGAAGAGATGTTAAGATCGAACACTGTCAATTTAATCCCGTCCTCAGCAAATTCAGGGAAGCTAAAGATTATTAGAGTTGTTGAATTTTGCCTTTGACTAACACTTAAAGTTATCATTTAATATTGGACATGAATTCAGATGAACAATGACTAATCAAACAAGTGGTTAACGTAACGGACAACGACAACCTGGTGGAACTCCGAATGTAATGCAAGTGAACATCGAGGATTTAAAACTTTTTAATGCGTTTTGCAAATAAGCAAATTAGCTAATCTCGCCAATTATAGAAAGGATGCACGGTGTGACTTGGATTTAATATAATTAACCACGTACAACACATCAAAACCAGAGTTAATTCACCCAAGGAAACAAACATATCCTACGTGAATCATTCCATATCTAGCCGCTTCTCATTCTCCCTCTGCAGTAAGTGTATCTCGTATTCTCAGAACTGCCTTCTGCCATTTTCCAGCTTGACCATAACAACGACAAAAACTTCAACGAATATCAATAATTAGGTAAATGTCGGTCAGTAACATGCACGTGTACGCGTATGCAATGGATCTCTGGATGATTAGATTATTCCTTTAGCTCATAGATGCAGGCGTGTCAGCCTCAGGGGCGATACGGCGGGCTGCACTAAGCCACATGACTAACTATCAATACATTGTGGTCTACATCCTGGCTCATGTACACCCCAGAATACTGTTATGACATTATATATATAATCCATGTGAGTAAAGGAGCTGGCGGAGTTCTGCCGATAGTAAGCTACAGCAAAGTGCTAAAACATGTAATACAACATGCTAGCCTAACCTCACACGGTCATGATCAATAGTTGTGTATGAATGTTCCCTTGTTCAAGACAAGCTTGTGAACATCAGTAAAACCATGCCGAATTTTCACATGAATGCATTAACTGCTGCATCTCCCTGGAGGCGCTTTCCATAATGTTTACAAAATATATCTCGTGAGTTCACCGTCTCACCCAGCGGTCAAGTACTTGATGAGTCTAATCCACACCTTAAACTTGAAAAAGAGGTGGGCGGTGCATGGGCCTTAAGGGCAGGCTCATTGTCGTTGAGGAGCATCATCATGAGATGGCGGGGGCTGTTAATATAGTAGCAATCGAAGTCAATCGTTGTCCAGATGTCCGGCATTCTCGTTGCCTTGCATACCCAGAATCTCACATTCTCATCCTCTGCCGTAGCTGCTCTTCACTGCGCCTATCAAATATGCTCGCACGGCGCCGTGGCCGAAGCATGCTGTTTCTTGACTACCTTCACTGGGGCACTCCGAGGCCGAGGGAGCTGGTTGTGAGGTGGACATGATTGATTTCATCGCCACAAGATCACTCAAGATTTAAAAGATACAGTTGCTTATTTCTGACCCAGCCTCGGATTCCCAGCACAGATAGAAAGACTTTCAGGGTCTCGTGAACCTCAGAAGTTAAAGATCCGTTAATGGGATGGGGCTCAGCATTTATGTTCACCAATCTTTGTAGGTCATGGGGTTTGCACTCTCACATGGCCTCGAGCCCGTATAGCAATTGCTAACCGAGTTAATCATAATTGTGCTTTAACCCGGATTAATTCTGGTACCCTAAGATTGCTCCTGCCTTGTGCTGTGAACGCTTATTGTGTCATGAAGTGATTATTTTGGCTCGCGGACTTCAATCATTTATCATTGTGATCCTGGGTGATGAAGCGCCATTATGTATAATACAATCTAAAGTTGACGACTAATCACTCATTTTTGAAAGGGAAAAATAGTGGGCTTACGCACTCGAAAGATCAGGCGAAAAATGTATCTCAAAAATTTGACCGATACATAATTCTTATCATCAACAATTAAAGGGTACGAGCATAGTCTCGTCGGAACACAGCAGTACTCATAAAAACTCCCAGACACCAGCAGAAGAATCTTCCATACGTGCAAATTTGAACTTAGTCAATACGCCCAGAGACCACGACTAACTTGACCAAGCAGAATTTTTCTCAGCAAAGCATGTGTAAGGTGAAAATTTTCGCTCAGATCTTCTTCTCATCTTCAGTTTATTCAGCTGGGTTGAGATAATTGGCATAAGGAGTAAGTTGGAGCGGAATTGGGTCTGTAATGATTTGTATGCACCTAGTCACTAGATTAGCGTAGATACACATCCGTCTCGTTAGAAAGCGTTGATACCTTGAATTTTCGGAGTCTAGCACATCATTCAAATCGGATACAAATTTTGCCGTCGTCCTAGCACGACCGATCTACTATTTTAAAACATTAGTTTTAAGACTCGTTATCCGCAAAGATATTTTGTAATGAGACGAAAATAGGATCACCATACCGTTGATAATGCAGGTGATGATATTTCTTGCTCGCCTTTAGTCCCTGCCAGCTCGTTTGGGCCACCAACATCACACTTACTGTTTCCTAGGTTTGGTGGCAGGGCCATGAACTGCGAAAAAGTTAAAAGAGATATCTCCTTCAGACTTGATTTTTTACTACCTCGAGAGCCTTTTGATCTGCTTGGTCCTCTGTAATTTTAGGCTTTATTTCGTCTGTTTGAAATTCTTCAGATTGTTTCTGTATATTTTTACGTAAAAATGATTTGACTTCGAGCTCCGCTGAAGCTTTTTCCGTCCTATTGGCTTCTATCATTGTTCGAGTAGGTTCAGGTTCTCTGTAAGTCGTAGGTAAAGCCTTTTTGGCCTCTGTAGAGTCACTTTGTAGAGCTTTATCAATAGCTTCCGCATTCGCAGAATTTAAAGCTTCATTTCTTTGAAACTCTGCGAGCTTTTCATTTAAGCCATCTACCAGCTCTTGGTTTTTGGACAAAATATCGCATATTTCAGATGAGTGAATATCATTTAAATGGTCGATTGCTTTCTTACAAGATTCCCTGATATTCTTTTCATGGACAACTTTCATATCATTTATTTCTTTCTCGTAGGTATCTCTTTGTTCTTCAAGAGAGCTGAGGGATGATTTGTGATCTTGATTAATTTGATTAATCTCTATAGAATGTGCCTTCTGAGCATCATCTAGTTTTTTCATAAGATCATCATACTCATTTTTTGTTGGAGATATCTTCCTAATACAATCAAGTTTTTGCTCATACTCCTCTGATACAGTCTGAATTTCTGCCTCATGCTTTTTCTTGAGTTGTATAACTTCATTATTTTTGTCAACGAGCTTTTTTGTAGTGTTTTCATGTTCAGATTTTATCTTGGCAAGAGCCTCATTTTTGTTCTTTTCATCAGCATCATAGGTGCGCATCATTTTTTTGAGCTCGCTGAGCTCTCCTCTTAGCTGGGTTGACTCGTCCTGTTGCAGGGATAGTTCCTGTAAATCAGCAGATCTCAAGGCGTTCAGATTACGAAGTTTCTCATTCGCATCATCAAGATCATTCTTGACAGTCTGGGTTTCCTTCAGAGCAGAATCATACTTTGCGGTTAGATTTTTTAATTCTTCTGAGGACTGGTGAAGTTTTGATTTGTTTCCTTCAGCTTCCTGTTTTAACTCCGATATCTCGGCATTTAAACTTAGTAATGCCTCTGATAACTGTTGTGAATGTTTTAAAGTGGTTTTCTCGTGATTAGCTCTCTCTTCCGCAAGAGATGTGACAGCGTCATTTAGTTGAGTTTGAAGATCACTGAATTCAGCTTGATGGCTTTGAATTAAATTATTTGTCTTTTCACTGTGAACTTTCTCGAATTCAGCTCCTAATCTTGCAACTTTTTCTGTATGTTCTGTCCTTAATGATGATATGATAGCTTTATGATCTTGTGCAAGTGATTCTTCTAGGTCAGCAATGGTACGCTGATGCTCTTCTCTGATAGCTTTTAATTGTTTCTCGGAATGAGATATCTTTAATTCGAGGTCATTGACTTTAGATTCCTTTTCTTTCAGAGAACTCTTTGCAGATTCATAATTTTCTTGCGCAGTAAGTAGCTCTCTCTTTACACTATTAAGGTTAAGTTCATTTTCGTACTTGACTGCTTTGATTGCCGCAGCAATGTTAGTGGCTTCGATTTCTTTTGCTTTATCCTCAAATTCCGTCAAGGATTTTTCGGCAGTGACCTTGGCAGACTGAGCTTCCTCTAGTCGAGCTTGTAGCTCACTAATTTCATTCTGAAACTTGGCTGTCAGCTCATTGTATTCCAATTTAATTTTTTCCTCCTTTTCAGTGAACTTCTTTCTCTCCTCCTCTTCTTTCTTACTTGATTCTAATAGTTTCTCTTGGGCGGCTACAATTTCGTTTTGGAGTTTTTCGACCTTTATTTCGCTATCTGCTAGCTTGACTCTGAGGTCATCAATCTCTTTCGATAAAGAGGTCGATGTTCGGGCTGACGACTTATTTAAGCCTGCTGACCCAGATATTGCCGAGAGCCTTTTCTTGGCATCTGCCACAGTACCAGAGATGGAAGGTCGAGCTGTCGAAGAAGTTGTAGATTTGTTTCCTAAGCTGGTGGGAGGTTTTGTTGTCACACTTGGCCTGGTAACAGACCTTTGACTTGTCGAGGTGAGAGCTGGTGTTGTTTGCTTACGAGAGACAGTGGTTGGTGCTCCTCGTTTTTCGGCAAGGGTCTCTGATCTTTTGGGTTGGTGATGGACAGATGACGCCGCTAAAGCTCCTCGACTAGCTCCAGGTAGTAGTGCTTTTTTCTTTTCATCTCCCGAACCCCCGATAGACCCTATAGATTTTGAATGTCCTAAGCTCGAAGATGACATGTTACCAATAGACTTTCGGGCATTTGAAGCTATGGAATGCCTTGATGAAGTCTTGATCGCACCGTTAATACGTGCAGTAGATGAGCTTGTGGGAGTTTTGGTGTCCGAGAGAGTTGAAGATCCAGCAATACGTTTGCCTCCACTACTACTCTTGGAAGACACGATCTCTTTCTCCTTCTTTGTTTCCTTTTTGGCTACCTTTGGAATCGGTATTTCCTCTTTATCTGCCACTGCATCTTTATCCATATCTGCCTCTCTATCTGTCATTGCCTCCTTGTCTGTCACTGCATCTTTATCCATATCTGCCTCTTTATCTGTCATTGCCTCCTTGTCTGTCACTGCATCTTTATCCATATCTGCCTCTCTATCTGTCATTGCCTCCTTGTCTGTCACTACATCTTTATCCGATGTTAACTCTGTTTCTGTAAGTTCCCCAGTAGATGAGGATACCCCTAATGTTGTGGAATCTTCAATATTGCTTTGACCATCTTCTGGCTTAATTTGAGCCTGTGCTTCATCCATGTCGAAGGTTAATGATGAACTGTATTTTGAGACGATAAGAACTTATTCTATTGGGAAACCACATAGAATAATTATTAGCAAAAGTTTATGGAGAGTTTTTATGGCTTATTGTATGGTGCACAAGTGAGAAATTTAATTTCCGATAACTACAGAGAGAAACCTATTGAGTGAAAAGCGCAAGGATAAAGAGTAACCGACTTACGGAGCACTAAATCGAGTTATGGACGTTTTAACACGACGAGCCGTCAATTACTCAAGATTACAGTGGTATAATAAAGGAAGGTAGATGTGATGGGCTGGAAATAAATCAATACTAGGGTTGTCTCAGATAGGCAAGGTGGACGTGCGATCTTTGATGCCGGAAGCATCAAAATAATGTTGAAAATACCCCTCTGATTAGGCTAGACCGGGAATGGACAGAGCCTGATTATCATATCCTAGAGTTCTCATTTTAATGATATAAATCGAGTCTGAAATTATCTATTTGCAAAATATGAGCAACAATTGTTCGAGTGAAGCAATTGGTATTACGAGATGACTTGTTAACAATTGATCTAAAGTGCCGTCCAAACGACATAACTCAATAAATGGCGAATAGGATTTTCATGGTACTATCTACCAGACCAGGATCATGTAGTTGCAAATGCCAAGACTAGAAGTGCGGGTAAGGATCATACTGGTAATTTAGCCGATCGATAATAGATCATCATGATTTCAATTCTGTCTTGATTGCGAGCAATGGCCGTTTATCATTAGAGATTTAGAGTAGTTTACTCAGACACCAACTGATCTTGCATTACAGCAAATTATCGTCTCAATTGTGTGTGTGTGTGTTTTATTGTACTACTTGAGTCTATGACTATCTAGCACATTGGGCTCCTCTCTGACCCAGGCCACACCTTGTACAGTGCTCCTGTTCTCTTTTGTTACTTGAAAGATCATTGATATATTCCCTTTGATGAATAGCTACTCAGCTCAGTATTTACCCGTGGAATTCGGCCACCTTTTCCACGGAATCTTCTACCCAAAAAAATAAAAATGGTAGCAATGGAAACTGCGTGCGCGGGAAAAAGTCTCAAAAAACCTGCAGCCCCGGCCAGGTGAGGCCTAGAGACCGAGACCACATAAGGTGCGCCTATTCATCTATTCCTTCCTTATTTGTGACATTCGAGGTCATCTTGATCCAATCCATCACCTCCGTATCGGGTGCTGGGTACGCTCCGGAAACTCATCGGATGGCATCTCCTCCATGATCAAGGGTTTGTGATAGATAGGACTTCGACCTTACCATCTGATCTGATCGTGGTTAGCTTCGTGGTAATGGTGATAGGGGAATGTGTTGAGAGATGAAGACGATACAGACCGCGAAAGCGATTGGGAATCATCGTCGAAGTGAGGACTTTGTTACTCAATCTCGGCTCTGCAGACTCTACAGTGAGAGCTGGAGGTTCGTAGGGGACACCACTGACAGGTGTTGAGAATAGTCCCCCTATCGTCTCCATTCTAGCAGCTCATGTGCCATAACACCCAACATACTCAGGTGCATAAATTTCGGCTTTAATCACAGGCACTAAGACTCATGTACTAAAGAATATACTCCAAAAAGAAAGCTCAATAGGATGATCCATCGCGTCAATAACTCAATGAGTCCAAATACTATCGTAATGAACTATATACACCTGCTTTCGACCGAACGTGGAGCCAGTAAAAGATAGATAGCTTTTTTTAGTTCTGATGCGGTACAGTAAGGATTGCAGGATGGATGATAACAGGCTAATTATCTTGCGATTCACAGGGTATCAAGTATGCACAATTAAGTTCAGCTATGCCGAGCCTACATTCTAGACCTGCAAGGCTAATACTTGTCAGAAATGTTGGCTGCGCTAATAATTGGTGTGAGCTATCTTATCCCAGGGCACCACTGACAGGGCAAACTAACAATCTGGCTCTTATCTATCACAAGCCTTATCATCTCCCTCTTCACCAGAACGTTTTCGAGTCTGCCGTGCATCGCAGCCAATTATGACACCACACCGATATACGGGTTCATAACATTCTCACCTCGCAAAATTTAAATAAAATACCTTGCCAAACCCTCAACCTACTTTTGCACTGGTTCACTTGAATTTCCGGTTTCCCGGATTTGTTATCTTTCCTCACACAACAAAATTCGAGGGCAAACCCAATAATGGTTTACTCGTGTCTCTATTCTACTCAGATGGGGATAAAAAGGTATCCCGCACTGGATTAGAAGAATATTTGATAAATCAAATGAGGGCGAAAGTTTGGCCATACTTTGTAGCAAATAATGGATTTAGCATCGTTGGGCACTCAAACTATTCATTTGAAACTTTAGAAAAATCTTTTGGGATTGCTCGTCTGAGTAGATTGAGCATGTGGTAGAACACTACGTATCTATTGATAATCTTAGACTTATGTAAGATGTAATATTTATATGTAGAAATAAATACAAAGGGTCTAGCTCTTCCGTAACATGATCTACTTAAAGATGCTAGAGATGATGGTTCAAAAGTTTAATTTCAAATACAGTTTAGTCGACTGTTAGTGTATGTAGGTTTCGTCTTCTTAGGCATTTTTGATCCTAAACCCCACCCATCACGGCCTACATCTAGATGAGAATACCCACAAATTACATACACAAGTCGACCGAATGAGGACGTGTGGGGGGTGGTATCGTTGAAGGGGAGCTTTATGTGTGATGTTTTACTGTACTACTTGAGTCTATGACTATCTAGCACATTGGGCTCTTTTCTGGCCCAGGCCACACCTTGTACAGTGCTCCTGTTCTCTTTTGTTACTTGAAAGATCATTGATATATTCCCTTTGATGAATAGCTACTCAGCTCAGTATTTACCCGTGGAATTCGGCCACCTTTTCCACGGAATCTTCTACCCAAAAAAATAAAAATGGTAGCAATGGAAACTGCGTGCGCGGGAAAAAGTCTCAAAAAACCTGCAGCCCCGGCCAGGTGAGGCCTAGAGACCGAGACCACATAAGGTGCGCCTATTCATCTATTCCTTCCTTATTTGTAACATTCGAGGTCATCTTGATCCAATCCATCACCTCCGTATCGGGTGCTGGGTACGCTCCGGAAACTCATCGGATGGCTTTTCTTCCATGATAATGGTGATAGGGGAATGTGTTGGAAGATGAAGACGATACAGACCGCGAAAGCGATTGGGAATCCTCGTCGAAGTGAGGACTCTGTTACTCAATATCGGCTCTGTAGACTCTACAGTGAGAGCTAGACGTTCTTTTTTTATTGCATCAGATTTTAATTGCGCATGCAGCCATCTAGCTGTGACACAATATCAAAGAAAAGTACAGAAAGGATGACTCAATTTACAAGAAGAGGGCTAGATGTTCGTGAGACACCACTGACAGATTTTGAGAATAGTGCTCTAGGGAAGCTATATGAGTAATAGGAAAGCATATACTACTTGATAGGTATCCCTGGCTTGTAGGCACAGGGGGCCGACTTGTCATATATAGTCATGGACTGGGAAAGGATAAAAATATAATTAATAATGACAACAGTTTTCCTAAGTCTTTAAACATGGAGAACATCTAAAATCCATATCAATCAGACCAGCTGAATTTAGAAAATGCGAAATTTCTCCGGATTTTGATCTATTGAGCAGCGCGAGGGGGATTATCTGGAAGTTACAACCAATACATGTTAATTGTTTGCACATTCAAAGCCATTATCCCATCAACATCTCCACTCTCCAGTCTAAAAAGCGATGTTTATTTTCGGATGTGCATCCTGGGAAAAATCTAGGCAAAATCACTGAGTATATTGAAATGTATAACCCACTACTTAGTTCGTGGACTTTGTTGGTAAAGGGAAGCTTATGCAATATTGAAGGATAAAAGAATGTCAATTCGACTTTTTTTTTTTTTGCATCAGATTTTAATTGCGTATGCAGCTATCTAGCTATGACACAATATCAAAGAAAAGTACAGAAAAGATGACTCAATCTACAAGAGGAGCACTCATGCCTCGGATTTCATTTGCAAGTACCACTGCGAAGTTATGGTGGCTTTTTCTTCACCCCAAGTCAACCCTCATCCGTGAATACCCACCCAGGGGAACGTCTCAAAAACCCTGAGTTATCCAGACATGCCTCCGTCATCCATCAACTTTTCTCCGCGGGAAATGTGATCTGAGATGTCTCCTTCCCAAGTGGAGTAAGTGCCCAGGCTACTCAAACCATACCAGAGAACACCACCAGGAGGCGGACCACAACACCTTCCATCGTTTGCTTGTTTTTATAGTGTCAGCTGCACTCTCGCAAGCGAAGTCTTGGCGCGCGCAAAGCTCAATTTGTAAAAACTCATTGCCAAATTTCGAAATTTCACGCCCTTCGAGGTTATATCTTTCCTTTGCATCATCTTATGAACTTATCCTGATCCCTCTCACGTCCATCCCAAAGATCTATCTCCTAGATTTGTGCTCCACGCTTTGCTTCCTCCGTCGGGTATAAATATCGGCGTGGGCGTGTATTTGGTGACCGGCTGAGGCCAGAGAAAGTCGACGAGAGGTGTGGTCATTGAAACGAGGATGTACTAGGTCGTACTTGTAGACTTGATGAAGCTTAGTTGAGAATCGGACTCTTTGGGAGTGAAAGATTGTCAATTCGACTACTCTGCTAAACACAGGTACCAGACTCCTTTTAATCCCAATACAAAGCCCGTACGGGATCTCCTATTAACAGCAGTAAACAACGCTAGCACAGGGTATACGCAATCTCCATTCGCCAAACACCAGTCGGTCAGGACTACTAATTATCGAGCCTAGTAGGATCGACAAAGTGTATCCCAACACAGAAATAATAGGAAACTCAGCAAAAAAACCCTTCATCAATTCGAGAAATTCGAAAATTCGAAAATTCATTTTTTCCCTCTTTCCTCCCTTCTCGACCTCGTCGCATCTATCTCTGAATTGTGATCGAGCTCAGGCATTTTCACCATGCCTCCAGTTCGCAAAAAGCGCCCCAACGTCAAGTTGGACAACACGAGAGTCCACCCGAGGGCTCTCCAACAATTACCTGGCCTTGCCCAGTCTCCGAAATGCGCGGAGATGAGCAACGTCTCTACCAAAGGGAAGGAAAAAGCCCTCCCCACCGTCACTGAGCCCGATACTGACATGATCGGGTCAGTCGAAATTATTGAGGAAATTCCTCAACCATCCTCCGTCCCCCAAGGGATTGGAGAATCGTCAAAATCTCCCCCGACCGCGCCAAAACTGTCGGAGAAAGCTGCACCCAAAGCAGCGTCAAAATCAACGTCGCAGCCCAAAACTGCCACGAAAGCAGATTGCCCTCCGGAACTTCGACCCATTATCGAAGCCGAGCAACGACGTGCCGCCGAAACAGCGGCAAATCTGGCCCTCTGCTCCGCCGCCATTTCTGGCGTCGAAGTCACCCTTCTTCCTTTGACCAACGGGTCAAACAGACAATTTGTAGACTCGATGAGAGTCTACCTACGCGCAGCCATCGCGCAATACATGGCCACGGGCCCGGCCTCCACGCCACCCGTCCTCCCTCCTCGCCCGGCGAACCCGATCCCAAGGGCTCCCGACGTCAGGAGCACAACGATTTCCGCCGTCCCAACGCTGCCTATAAAAAGCGCCTGGGCCACGGTGGCCAGAAACGGACTGTCACAAAAAGCAGTCCCTACTGTTAAGGCTGTTCCGCGACCTGCGGCAAAAGCCCAAAATAAAGAAGCTCCGAAGGCTAAAGTCGACAAACGACTGTTCCTTCGCTTGGAGAGCGATCACCCATGGCGCCAGCTTTCGCCTGACGGCATAAGGCATCAATTATGTAGTAGGCTACTGTACACCTTGAGTGAAAAAAGCTCTATACACCGTGTCAGAACCGGATTTGCGATTCTGACAGCGGATGAAAATGAAAGAGAAGAGCTCTTAGATGCCTCACCGAAGTTGTCGGACTTCAATGCCAAAATCGAGGAAGCCTCCAACCTTGTCGCCTTTCGGATCGCGAATGTTCCAGCGACTATAAAATTAATCAACCGTATTGAGACGGTCGATGCCGGTAGGATCTCACTGGAGATTTACCGCAAAACACAACGACGTCCATGCCAGGTGCGACCGCAAGGGACATGTCGTCCTGGAGCGCCATACAGAAACTGGTATGCCCTTTTCAACCGGGACTCCGCCCCTCGTGCGGGCTTCCGAATTCTCGACGAGTCCGGAGCGGCTACAAAGATCCAGCCTCGTAGCCAAATTGAACAGTGCAAACGCTGTTTGGGCTTCCACGCCACCCGTGGTTGCTCCCGCGCCCCAGCGTGCTGGAACTGCGGATCAAACATGCACTCGGAAGCCGAGTGCAAGGCCCTCACAAAGTGTCGCAACTGTGGGGGACCCCACCGATCGGATTCTCGGGACTGCAAAGTCAGACCCAGAAAGTCTGGACCGGTGACCAAAGAGCAGCTCGCGTGGATCCGCCACATCGAACAAGGGGAGTTCGCGAAGGTGGCACGAGCACGAGCAACAGCAAAGAAGGCCGAAGAGGCAATCACCGCCGCTGCAAAGGACGTCTCGATGGCCGAGGCTACAGGTTTCGGAGTTCTGGAATTTGAAGAAGAAGTTTGAGGACACAGCAACCTCGACGATGTCCCTTTTGGGGCATATACTAACCAATAGCAGGATACCGGCTGGATAAAAAGTGCCTGCTATCTCATCTCTTGCTCTCAGCGGAGATTGAGTAAATTTGTCATTTGGAAGATGTGGCAGGAAAGGGAACGGGCGAGAAGCGCGGGATCCGGACCACATGAAGAATCTTGTAAATTTGATTTCAGTCTTTGGCTTTTAGTTTTGATTTTAGTTTTTGATTACAGTTTCTGAGTTATAATTTACCTGCTACTTTTTCTGTAGCGGGTCACGCGGTTGGAATGAGTTGGGCCTGTAAGCAGTGATCCCCGCCGGCTCCACCAGTCTTGTACCGATAGTGGACCTAGAGCCTTAGCTTAGGACTTTAATATAATAAAAAAAAAAAAACCCTTCATCCAAACAATTCGAGAAGCCCCCAATTTGCCCATTCCCACCCTGTTATCCATCTCACCCTCTGACGAACGAATCGAATCGCAATTGTTTGCCATCGGCGGAATTTTAGAATGCCTCCGACGCGTAAAACGCACCAAAACGCGATCAGCGGCATCACCAAAGATCGCGCCAACAAACCTTATCAATGGCATACCGCCATTCAAAACCACGCAAAGAACATGCTAACAAGGCGAGGACTCGAGTCCAATCTTCAAAATATGAACACCATCGCGGCTGCGCTCCAAGCGAAGGAGAACGATGTCCCCGAGGTAGATATGGTGGACGCAGAAGTCGAGAAGTTAAAAACCCTCGCCGA